AAGAATAAATTGGTTCTGAATGAATTAAAGAAAGAGGGAATGCTCATATACCGCTTAGCTTTCACTGCACTCTTTTATATCAATTGAACCAACTTATAGTAGAGAAGCAATGTCAAGTAAGTTGTTTCTTGAAATACATCTTTGGCTTCAAAGAACACCGCATTTGATGTGCAACAATTAATACTCTAAAGATTTGGAGAAATATGTTTTCTAGGAGACTAGATACTTTCAGCCTGCTAGCAGTTCTGTACTTTTGAGTTCTACAGTTGCAGATAATGAGAAATGCATTTTTTTCGCTGTAAAGTACTTCAGCCTGCTAAGGATTTTGTACTTTAAATTCTTGACTTGCAGGTTTGTACTAAGTCCAGAACACAAGATAGTGTTGCTGCGTTTTAGCTGTTTCAAATAGTGTTTAAAGTGCTAGAGGCCAAAATTGATTTGAACCTGATAAAGATGAATTTTGGTGAGAATATGGAGTCAAATGTTGATTTTCACATACAAGATGAGGCAGAAAGGCTGCTTAAAGAGATTGATTTGGTGATGAAGAATGTTGAGAACTCTGGATTCTATGCTGGAATGCACTTGGATCTTAAACAGAATGAAACAATGCAAAAACATTTCTTTCGCCTTTTAGGCTCCCATTCACATCTTCAGGTGGTAATCTATGGTTTGGGAAGCATTGAATACAGTTTCCATTCACAGTTTCAGCTTGCTGTAGTTCTCCTACTAAAACGGGATTTTTCTGATTGGATTGACAGTATAGTAATATACGATCCCAACATGTCTCTAGCTGATATCATAGTTTTCAAAAAACTAGATCTTGAGGTTCTCACCATTGATGAAAATTGTAAGAGGAGAGCTCAGAGACCAACAATGTTCTACATGCCTGATCCTTATTGTTATCATATTGGCAACCTCTTGGGAGCAAACTGGTCTTCATCTTGTCTAAACCGGATTTGTTTGCTGACAAACTCGTTCCGTGATAGACTGACCAATACGCCACGAAGTGGTCCTGATCTAGAAGCAGTGATACGCTTAGAGAGAATTCTTCCCTTCACAACAGAAATTGACATAAAACTTAGTGACAGTCCGATGTATGCTAATTTGTTCTCAGGATTTGCCTGGCATTTCTTTGATGTGGATACCAACATTGACATTGGCAAACCAGGATGGTATTGGCTGGATATTCAAAGGTACTTAGATGTGAGACTAGAAATTGAACTTCCCATTTATTATTGAATACAGTTCTCTATTGTTGTTCTATTGATTTTGGGAAACAAAGATGCTGCCAAGTAGCACATATGAAATCAGTAGCCCTTTAAGTTCTGTCTGTCTATGTTTGTTCCAGTTCCTTCTCCTTGTGATAAGATGTGCTTTACACATGTGATTGATTTAAATGCTAGTTGGAAATTCTAGATTTTGTTGGTTGGATTATGCTAAGTACTTTGAAATTATTTGCTTGGAGGAAACTATAGTGTGATAGAGGTGTAGGAACCATAGGAGGGTATGGTGTACTTCATATATCCCTAATGATGTAACTTTTAACTTTGTGTCGCAGGAATCTTGAAGAGGAATTTTTGGAAGATATGAAAAGCAACATGACCAGTGAGGAATTTGCAGAAATTTGGGGTATTTCTCGTGGGTTTCGTCGTTTAAGATGCAACAACGTTCGTCCTCCTCCAGGCTGGATTAAGCTAAACATCTATGGTATTGGTAGAAAAGGTGATCAGCCAGGACAATATAGTGGCATCTTCCAAGATGAAAAAGGAACGTGTTTAGTTAGGTATAAGGGTGACTTTGATGTTGAAGACAATGTGATTGCTGGACTAGAGGCCTTGAGGCTTGGGTTGGCCAGATGCGTGGAAGGAAAGCCAAATGCAGAGAAGTTGATTGTGGAGTCAGATGATCTTACACTTGTCCAATATGTTAATGGTCGCCCTGAGCCAAATGAAAAGGCTATGGACAAATTGAAGGAAATTTTCGTCTTGTTGGAACGTATAACTTGTGCAACAGTTCACTATATCTACGAAGAAGCCAATGAAGCTGCTAGGGAGTTGGCTCTGAGTGATGAATGCCCCAGTAATGCATAAAGCTTTGTTTTTTACTCAAAGGGGGTAAGGTGAATCTTTCTAAGTTGAACTAAGGTTTCAAATTCAATTTGCATTTAGGGGAAAATGACGTTGCTGATCAAGTTTGTTAAACGTTGTGGAGACACTTGAATTTACTTGCTAGACTTTGTTTAATTGTGCTTTTGAATGTTTAGGAGATACTTGAGTTTACTTGTTAGCCTATCTGTTTTGACTGTAGTTTCTACAGAATTGCTTCTGTGTTTTGGGTGTTAAAATCAGAATTGCTTCTCTTTTATGGATTACAATTTACATGTTTGAAAATTACAGAAACTCTCTTAATAGTTTCACTGTCCATACAATGATTAACTTTTCATTGTTCAACTATCTGAAAAATGTAAGGAACATCCTTATACTATTATCATTTATATCCACATTTTTTTTCAAATAAACAATGCAATTACATTTCTGAATGTATTTTTGGGTTAAAAGATTTCAGGCAGGGGAGCCTATATAGAATTGTGTATTCTATTGGGTTCCCATGCTCTTTCAAAAGTCGCAAAAAGTAGTAGTTTAATTAAAATTTGAAATGCTTCAGCTACAGATCAGTTACATCCCAAATGCTCCATCTCTTGAAGATGCCTGCAATGCACCTTCCGTTTCATTTTACTTACTTTAATTTTTTTATTTTTTTTTTAACTAGTAAATCAAGATAAATTTATCACTTTTTTTTTCAATACTAACCTCCTTATTACATAATGGCTACATATCCTAATAGTCAAATTTATGTGAAATTATCACGAACACTCATTTTATTATTTAAGTCAAGTGACACATCAAACAAGTTAATTTTCTTTAATCAAGATCATTTAATATGTCTTTTAAAATAGTACTTCCTCCGTCTCATTTTATGTGTCACTTTTCTGATTTTGAGATTCAAACAAGTCTAACTTTGATAGTAAGTTTTTCATAGATTTTTTAAACATTTTGAATTATTAATTATTGTGACCTATAATACCTTTTACGTAATTTATAAATATATAAATTTCATTTTAAAAAATTGAAGATTTCATGCGTAAATTTCCGGAAGAGTACTTATCTGAAAGTGCCATATCCCCATGTCAATATATGTGCTACTATATAATTAGTGTGTGAATATTTTTTTATTTTTTTTTAAAAATTTGTCAAAGATTATGCATTTGCGTCAGTTATTCTTTTCTCTGCCACGTAAGCCCAATTCTTTCCACGTGGCAGGCTACTCCTCAAATAGGCAAAGGCGCGCAACAAACTTATTTGGAGCACTGCATTACTCTAAACTGTTTTCTCTCACACAACAAAATCGTTTCATCGCACAGAAAATATCTTTTTCCATTGATTTCCATTGTTGAAGTTGAATTCGACCTTCTCATCGCATGGATTCATATCGTCAAGGTAGCTCTTCAATGGCGATCGTTTACTGAGGCAACAGTACGTTTCATCGACTTTGTTCTTTTAGTATCTTCGAATGTGTTTTCTGTTAGTAATAGTAATTGTTTCAACTCGATTGAAGGATCTACCATTTTCACCGACTTTGTTGCAGTCAGCATCTTCTCTTTTACTCTCAATTTTCAAAAAATCAAAATGTAGAATGTGTTTTCTGAGGATTGCGATTTCCGTTAGTAATAGCAATTGTTTGAACTCGATGGAAGGATCTACCATTTCCAGATTTTCACTGCCTTTGTTGCTGTCAGTATCTTCTCTTTTTACTCTCATTTTATTGTTTACTTTATCCTAACTAAATTGTTGTATGTATTCTGTTTGTAACACTGATTGTTTAAATTCGATTGAAGGATTTAGCATTTCCGTCGTCCTATAATTTCTGTGTTTCTGTTCCAGAAGAGCAATTGTTTTGCTCAAGTTGAACTGCTTGTTATCCACAAGAAATACAGAGTCCGTTTCATTTTATATTGCAGTAGGTGTTCTGTGAGGATTTCGTTAAATTTCGTTCGTGATAGTGAGTGTTTGAATTCCACTGAAGGATCAAGTATTTCCTTATGTGTTTCCATCGTCCTTAATTTTTCTGTGTTCAATAGTTCCTTTGTTGAACTGCTTGTTATCCAGATGAAATATGTAGAGGACTCTTTGTACTTTACATGAAAGAGGAAAATCTGGAGAAAAATAAGACGTTTCATATATTTATTTTTTATGGATTCCGTTAAATTGCATTTGTAATACTATTTAGTATTTGAATTCGACTGAAGGATTTAACATTTCCTTATTATTTTATTGTCCTATAATTTTTAAGTTCAGAAGAAAAACTGTTTTAATGTGCTCTAGTTGAACTGCTTGTTATCCAGATGAAATAGACACACACTCAGTTTTACAGGAAAGAGGGAAATCTGGAGAGAGAAAAAATACGATTCACTTTTTTTTATTAGATCTGTGATTTGGTACTTTCAGGATCTCAATTTTCAGTAGTGCATTGTTCTTTGTGAATTTGTACTGGTAGTCGAAGTAGGTGACTGAAACACACCTAGATGGAAGAATTGAGTTTAGAAGAGCTTGTATTTGTACTCGAGTGATTGCAAATTCTAGGTGATCGGTTCTGAATGGATTAAAGAAGGAGGGTATGTTCATATTCCTCATACCTCTCGTTGCATTTTTTTAATCACAGTTGACAACCTTATAGATGTCAACCGAGTTGTTTCTTGAAATATCTTTGTGGCTTCAAACACGTGGCATTTGATGTGCAGCAAGTATACTCTAAAAATTTGGAGAAAATATGTTTTGATAGGAGATAAGCTACTTTCCGCTTGCTAGCCGTTCTGTACTTCTGTGTTCTACACTTGCACATAATGAGAAATGCATCTTTTTTGCTGTGAAGTACTTCAGCCTGCTAATGACAATCACCAACAATTTGTACTTTAAATTCTATACTTGCAGGTTTGTATTAAGTCCAGAACACAAGAGAGTGCTGCTGTGTTTTAGCTGTTTCAAAATAGTGTTTAAACTGCTAAAGGCCAACATCAATTTGAACCTGATAAAGATGGATTTTGGTGAGGATATGGAGTCAAATGTTGATTTTCACATAAAAGATGAGGCAAAAAGGATGCTTAAAGAGATTGCACTGGTGAAGAAGAATGTTGAGAACTCTGAGCTCTATGCTGGAATGTGCTTGGATCTCAAACAGAATAAAACAATTCAAAAACACTTCTTTCGCCTTTTAGGCTACCATTCACATGTTCAGGTGGTAATCTATGGTTTGGGAAGCACCGAATACAGTTTTAGTTCACAATTTCAGCTTGCTGTAGTTCTCCTACTAAAACGAGATTTTCCCAATTGGATTGGCAATATAGAAATATACGATCCCTGCATGTCTATGGCTGATATCATATTTTTCGAGAAACTAGGTCTTGAGGTTCTCACCAATGATGAAAATTGTAAGAGGAGAGCTCAGAGACCAACGATGTTCTACATGCCTAATCCTTGTTGGTATCTTATTGGCAACCTCTTGGGAGCAAACTGGTCGTCATCTTGCCTTAACAAGATTTTTGTGCTGACAAACTCATTTAGCTACACACTGACCAATACGCCACGATGTAGGACTGTTCTAGAAACAGTGCTACGCTTAGAGAGAATTCTTGACTTCACAACAGAGGTTCACATAGAAACTAGTGACAATCAGACGTATGCTAATTTGTTCTCAGGATTTGCCTGGCATTTCTTTGACGTGGATCCTAACAATGACATTGACAAACCGGGATGTTATTGGTTGGACATGCAAAGGTACTTAGATGTGAAACTAGATACAAAACTTCTCATTTAGTATAAATATAATTCTCTAGTTATTATGTTGATTTGGGAAACAAAGGTGCTGCCAATTAGCACACAATTGAAATCATTAGCCCTTTACTTTCTGTCTGCCTATGATTGTTCCATTTCTTTCTCCTTGTGATAAGATGAGCTTTACACATGTGATTGATTTAAGTGCTAGTTGGAAAATCCAGATTTTGTTGGTTGAATTATGCGAAGTACTTTGAAATTATTTGCTTGGAGGAAACTATAGTGTGATAGAGGTGAGTTGAAGGAACCATAGTAGGGTATGGTGTACTTCATATATGCCTAATGATGTAACTTTCAACTTTTGTGTCGCAGGCATCTTGAAGAAGAATTTTTGGAAAATATGAAAAGCGATATGAATAGTGAGGACTTTGCAGAAATTTGGGGTAATTATCGTGGGGCTCGACGTTTAAGATGCAACAACATACCTACTCCTCCAGGTTGGATTAAGCTAAACATCTATGGTATTGGTAGAAAGGGTGATCAGCCAGGACAATATAGTGGCATCTTCCAAGATGAAAAAGGGAAGTGTTTTGATATGTATAGGGGTGACATTGATGTTGAAGACAATGTGATTGCTGGACTAGAGGCCTTGAGGATTGGGTTGGCAGGATGCATGGAAGGAAGGCCAAATGCGCAGAAGTTGATTGTGGAGTCCGACAATGTTATACTTGTCCACTATGTTAATGGTCTCCCTGAGCCAAATGACACAGCCATGCGCTGGTTGGGGGAAATTTTCTTCATGCTGAAGCGCATAGCTTGTGTAGTTTACCATATCTACGAAGAAGCCAATGAAGCTACTAGAGACTTGGCTCTGGATGGTGAATGTCCCAATAGTGCATAGATAGCTTTGTTTTTTACTCAAAGGGGTAAGGTGAATCTTTCTAGGCTGAACTAAGGTTTCAAATTCAGTTTGCATTTTATGGCAACTAATGTTCTTATCAAATTTGTCAAAGGTTACGTTGGAGACAATTGAACTTACTTGTTAACCTTTGATTTTAATTGTGCTTTTGAATGTTTGGGATAATATACCTATGTGTTTTAATTGCCCGTTAGAATTGCTTCTGTCTTTTGGGTATTAAAAGTTATTTGTTTCCTTCCTTTCTCCTCTAATTCTTCCATTTATTTATTTCCTTGTTTGTTCCTTTTTTTCAACTATTTATTTCCTCCCTTCTTTGCTTCTTTATTTATTTCTTTTATCTCAATCATCCTTATCTATAGAAGTTGTCTTTGTACATTCTGTCACTTATGGAGGAGATCTAGTTCACCTAAGTATACATAAGATAATAACTAGTGAATTAGGTTTCCTTTTTCAATTATCAAAACTACATACATGTTCTCCTATTTTTCAATAATTTTCCATTTTTTAATAATGATAAACAATTCATTATAGTTTACTTTGTCAACCATCAAAACTACAACCATGTTCTCCTATTTTCCAACAATCATACCTGCAATGCATCAGTCAAATTGTAACCACTTTGCCATTAGGCTACGTGTTACTGTTGGTTTAAGTGGGGTCAAATTAATTATATACAATGTTTTGTTTCAAAAAACAGATTGAATATATACATATATACAATGTATTTATTCGACGAAGTGGGTTCATATGAACCCACTTGCAACAAGGTAGGTCCGGCCCTGGTCCCAAATGCTCCATCTCTTTGAATATGTTAAGAATTCATCGACAACTTAATTAATATACAAACACTTAAAAAGAAGAATTCAGAATATTCTAGAGTTGTAGAGAATTGAAGAAAGATCTGGCGAAAGAGTGTTGAGAAAAGTCTAAAACTACTTTAAGTGGTTAAAGGTCAACATTCTTGAAGAGAGCTATAAATATCTCTCACTAGATCCTTCCATCAACATCTATAAATAGAAGTGTTCCCTTATACTTGAGTTGTATGTGTGCTCAAATCAAGTAACAAGTTAAAAAAAAATAACAACACTTCAAAATTATTACGAATTTATTGATTTGCAGTCGCATCTTGCTCAGATCAATAAATATAGCTAAAAGTTATTTCTAGCATGAATAACATGCATTTCCTTTGGTTTATTCTTTTCTCCACCACGTAAGCTTAATTCTTGCCACGTGGCAGCCTACTCTATAAATAGGCAAAGGCACGCAACAATAGCTGTAGTCTCTGACACAAGCAAAATGCCATAACCAAAATCGTTTCATCGCTTTTTCCATTGATTTCGTTGAAGTTTTGAAGCCTTCTCTTCAATGGCGACCTCAGGCACTGGTTACTGAGGCAAGAGTACGTTTCACCGACTTTGTTGCTGTGAATATATTCACTTTTTTCGTAAAACCAAAAAATAGTATGTGTTTTGTGAGGAATCCGTTAGTAATAGTGAATATTTGAACTCCATTGATGAAGGATCTACCATTTCCGTCGTCATATAATTTCTGTGTTCAAATGTTCGTTTGTTGCATTTCCTTATGTTCGTTTGAACTCGATTGATGAAGGATCTAGCATTTCCTTATGTTTTTCCATCGTCCTGTAATTGTATGTTGTTCCAGAAGAGAAACTGTTTTTCTGTTGTTGAAACTGCTTGTTATCTAGATGAAATACAGAGTCCGTTTCATTTTCTTCTTATTTATTTTTGCTCATTGGGTAGTAAAACTAAATTGTAGTATGTGTTCTGTGAGGATTTCGTTAATTTTGTTCGTGATACAGTGATTGTTTGAATTCCACAGAAGGATCTGGTATTTCCTTATGTGTTTCCATCGTCCTTTAATTTTTCCGTGTTCAATAGTTCCTTTGTTAAAATGCTTGTTATACAGACTCTGTTGTACTTTACATGAAAGAGGAAAATCTAGAGAAAAATATTACGTTTAATATATTTATTTTTAATGGAATTATTTGAATTCGATTGAATGAATTAGCATTTTCTTATTGTTTTATTGTCCTATAAATTCAAGTCCAGAAGAACATTAGAATTACTGTTTTAATTTGCTCTAGTTGAACTGCTTGCTATCCAGATGAAATGCATACACACTCTGTTTTACAGGAAAGGGGGAAATCTGAAAAAGTTAACATTCATTTTATCTTTTTTGGATTAGATCTGTTCAGGGTCTCAATTTTCAGTAGTGCATTGTTTTTTTTTGTGAATTTGTACTGGCAATTGAAACACACTTAGATGGAAGAAATTGAGTTCAGACCGATCATGTGGGATCATATATCTTTCAATAACAAAAAACAACATACCATGCCATTCCCTATTTGAGAACTTTTATAATTGTACATCCCAATTTTCGCTTTAATGACATGATCTGTTTGAAGCAACTCTGATATAAGTTTTTCATTATTTTACCAGAAAAGACAAATTGAAAAGATATGTGTAAGTATCACAAAAACTCATTTAAGTATTATATTCGAGTAGTAAATAAAAGCAACTTTGATACTCTGTATTATTATAATTTATGTATCAGAAGTGTTTTTCGCCGCGCAAGTTTCATATATCCAGTCATGGGAGTAACTTTCATTTTAATTCTGAATCTGAAGCGTTACTTTGTTTTATAGTGGTGGCACAGATTTTGTTCTATACTCCTCTTTTACTCTCATTTTTCTTATTTATTTTTGTTATCAGGTTGTAAAACTAAATTATAATGTGTGTTCTGTGAGGATTGTGTTTGAAATAGTTTTTGTCTGCATTCGACTGAAGGATCTAGCATTTCCTTATGTGTTTCCATCGTCCTGTAATTGTCTGTGTTCAAAAGTTCCTTTGTTGCCATTTCATTTTAAGTCCAGAAGAGCAACTGTTTAGCTGTAGTTCAACTGCTTGCTATCCAAATGTAATACAGACTCAATTGTATTTTCACGTTTCTTATTTATTTCTTCCAATCAGTTTGTAAAACTAAATTGTTGTATGTGTTTTGTGAGGATTCTGTTAAATTGCGTTCCAAATAGTGATTGTTTGAACCCGATTGAAGGATCTAGCGTTTTGTTATGTGTTTTCATCGCCCTATAATTTTCTGTGTTCAGAAGTTCCTTTGTTGCCACTTCATTTTAAGTCCAGAAGAGCAACTGTTTTGCTGTAGTTCAACTGCCTGTTATCCAGTTGTAAATAAATAATCTATTATACTTAAGACGGAAAGAGGAAATTCTAGAAAAATAACTCCATGTTCTTCTTTTTAGATTAGGTGTGATTTGGCATTTTAGAGTATCAATATTCATTAGCGCATAGTTCTTTCAGAATTTGTACTGACAGGCGAAGTCGGTGACTGAAACACACTTGAGTTTTGAAGAGCTTGTATTTGTACTTGAATGATTGTAAATTCTACGTGATCTGTTCTGAATGGATTAAAAAAGGAGGGTATGTTTATATTCCTCTTGGCTTTCGTTGCATTTTTTTTATCTCAATTGACCAACTTATAATAGAGAAGACGTCAACCGAGTTGTTTCTTGAAATATCTTTATGGCTTCAAACACGTGGCATTTGATGTGCAGCAAGTATACCTGACAATTTGGAGAAATATGTTTTTATAGGAGAGAAGATACTTTCAGCCTGCTAGCAGTTCTGTACTTTTGAGCTCTACACTTGCACATAATGAGAAATACATCTTTTTTGCTGTACAGTACTTCAGCCTGCTAATGAGTTTGTACTTTAAATTTTAGACTTGCAGGTTTGCATTAAGTCCAGAACACAAGAGAGTGTTGCTGCACTTTAGCTGTTTCAAATAGTGTTTAAACTGCTAGAGGCCAACTTTAATTTGAACCTGTTTAAGATGAATTTCGCTGAGGATATGAAGTCAAATGTTGATTTTCACATAAAAGATGAGACAGAAAGGCTGCTTAAAGAGATCGAACTGGTGAAGAAGAATGTTGAGAACTCTGAGTTCTATGCTGGAATGCACTTGGATCTCAAGCAGAATAAAACAATTCAAAAACACATCTTTCGCCTTTTAGGGTCTCATTCACATGTTCAGGTGGTAATCTATTGTTTGGGAAGCATCGAATACAGTTTTAAATCACAGTTTCAGCTTGCTATAGCTCTCCTACTAAAAAGAGATTTTCCCAATTGGATTGACAATATAGAAATATATGATCCCTGCATGTCTCCAGCTGATATCATAGTTTTTGAGAAACTAGGTCTTAAGGTTCTCACCGTTGATGAAAATTGTAAGAAGAGAGTTCAGAGACCAACAATGTTCTACATGCCTTACCCTTATCCTTATCTTATCGGCAACCTCTTGAGAGCAAACTGGTCTTCATCTTGTCTTAACAAGATTTTTGTGCTGACAAACTCATTTCGCTATACACTGACCAATATGCCACAATGTAGGCATGCTCTAGAAACAGTGGTACGCTTAGAGAGAATTCTTGACTTCACAACAGAGGTTGACATAGAAACTAGTGACAATCAGACGTATGCTAGTTTGTTCTCAGGACTTGCCTGGCATTTCTTTGATGTGGATCCTAACAATGACATTGACAAACCGGGATGCTATTGGTTGGACATGCAAAGGTACTTAGATGTGAAACTAGCTAGAAAACTTCTCATTTAGTATAAATATAATTCTCTATTTATTATGTTAATTTGGGAAACAATTGAAATCATTAGCCCTTTACTTTCTGTCCACCTATGATTGTTCCATTTCTTTCTCCTCGTGATAAGATGGGCTTTACATGTGATTGATTTAAGTGCTAGTTGGAGAATCCAGATTTTGTTGGTTGAATTATGCAAAGTACTTTGAAATTATTTGCTTGGAGGAAACTATAGTGTGATAGAGGTGAGTTGAAGGAACCATAGGAGGGTATGGTGTACTTCATTTATCCCTAATGATGTAACTTTCAACTTTTGTGTCGCAGGCATCTTGAAAAAGATTTTTTGGAAAATATGAAAAGTGATATGACTAGTGAGGATTTTGCAGAAATTTGGGTTGATTATCGTGGGGCTCGGCGTTTAAGATGCAACAATGTACCTCCTCCTCCAGGTTGGATTAAGCTAAACATCTATGGTATTGGTAGAAAGGGTGATCAGCCAGGACGATATAGTGGCATCTTCCAAGATGAAAAAGGTAAGTGTTTTGATAGGTATAAGGGTGACATTGATGTTGAAGACAATGTGATTGTTGGACTAGAGGCCTTGAGGATTGGGTTGGCAGGATGCGTGGAAGGAAGGCTAAATGCACCGAAGTTGATTGTGGAGTCCGACAATGTTATACTTGTCCACTATGTTAATGGTCTCCCTGAGCCAAATGACACAGCCAAGCACAGGTGGAAGGAAATTTTCGACATGCTGCAATGTATAACTTGTGTAGTTTACCATATCTATGAAGAAGCCAATGAAGCGGCCAGAGACTTGGCTTTGAATGGTGAATGTCCCAATAGTGCATAGAGAGCTTTGTTTTTTACTCAAAGGGGTAAGGTTAATCTTTCTAGGCTGAACTAAGGTTTCAAATTCAGTTTGCATTTTATGGCTTATCAAATTTGTCAAAGGTTGGAGACACTTGAACTTACTTGTTAACCTTTGTTTTTAATTTTGCTTTTGAATGTTTGGGATTATATTTTAATTGCCAGTTTCTACAGAATTGCTTCTGTCTTTTGGGTATTAAAAGTTTTAATGATTGGATATCTTGGAAGACTAGAAAGAAAGTATTCATGGGATATGTTCTCTTTTATGGATTACATGTTTGAAAATTACAGAAATTCTTTTAATAGTTTCACTGTCCATACCATCTGAAAAATGCAAGGAAAATCCACAATTTTCTCTTTTAATTTCTGTCCTATTTAACCTGTTTCTTGAAGTGTTGGCTTGTTTCTATTCTGTTTCATACTTGCTATGGTGAAGGTTCATATTTCTTAAAATTTGTTTGTGGCATTTGATTTTTGGGAGGATTTGGTCAATTTTATTGTCAAAATATTCTATAAGAAGTAATGACAGGTAGTTGCAAAGTGAAAATGGAGTCTTCAGACAAAAGAAGATGAAAAAAAGACCCCAAGAGCAAATGTAGCACACTGAAAATTAGAAGGCCTTGAATTCTCTTTACAACGTATGATCATTTTCTTTTCTTTTTTTCACTCACCCGGAGGCCCCTATATAAGATGGGGTAAAATGGAACCAAAAGTTAAGTGTCTCTAATTAGAAGTCTCTTGTTATATGAAGTTTTGGATAATCTTTTGCCTAGCTCTTGTTCAATTTCTATGCTATGTTACATTACTGAATCACTTACTGTGTGACAAATTTGAGTTACGTGAATTAAGTTTTACCATGGAAAGGAAGTGCAACAGAGTTAATTAGGTGAATTAGGTTCAACTCAAGCAAGTAAAAATCATGACCTACACTATGTTGAATTTCCATCAACCACTTATGAGTCGTTTGGTAAAGTGTATTCAACTCTAGTCTTTAACTGATCAAACTTCAAAATTGAATAGTACATACTCGAAAACAACTAATAAACCAAGTTTCAGTGTTGTGACGAAGTCCTATAGTTTTACTTCAACCGCTATTGCTTTCAAGATGATAAATTTCATGAAAATATAGTAGGTACGACTTTCAATGGTTTGCATGTAGTGTATTTACTAGAGATTTGAATTTTACTTCGACTAGAACTTTGGCCTCGTATAAGGAAACTTGTGATTTCCTTTTTCTTTGTGTATGGTTGTTGACGCATACTTGACTCAATATTCTTTTCTTTGGTTCTTTCCTTATTTTCTTCTCTAATTCGTCCATTTATTTATTTCCTTTAGAGGGGATTTAAGTTCACCTGATAGAATACATACAAGATAACAAGTAGTCAATTTCAAAAGTTTAAAACTACATACATGTTCTCTTATTTTTCAACATTTTCTCCTTTTTTAATAATAATAAACATTTCATCATTGTTTATTTTTGTCAATCATCAAAACTACGAACATGTTCTCCTATTTTCCAACACATCCCGTTAAGAATTCATCACCGACTTAATTAATACACAAATACTTCAAAGAAGAATCTAAAACAGCATTGTAGGCATGATGAATAACATGCATTTCCTTCTACTATTCCTTTCTCCACCACGTAAGCTTAATTCTTGCCACGTGGCAGCCTACTCTATAAATAGGCAAATGGCGCGCCATAATAACTGTACACAATCAAAATGCCATAACTAAAATCGTTTCATCGCTTTTTCCGTTGATTTCGTTGAAGTTTTGAAGCCTTCTCTTCAATGGGCGACGCGAGGCACTGGTTACTGAGGAAAGAGTACGTTTCACTGTCAGTATATTCACTTTTTCGTAAAACCAAAATGTAATATGTGTTTTGTGAGGAATCCGTTTGTAATAGTGATTGTTTGAATTCGATTGATGAAGGATCTAGCATTTCCTTATGTTTTTCCATCGTCCTGTAATTGTATATGGTCAAAAGTTCCTTGTTACAACTTCATTTTCAGTCCAGAAGAGCAACTATTTTGCTGTAGTTGAATTGAACTACTTGTTATCCAGATGAAATACGAACTAAATTGTTGTGTGTGTTCTGTGAGGATTCTGTTAATTAAATTGTGTTCCAAATAGTGATTGTTTGAACCCGATTGAAGGATCTAGCGTTTTGTTATGTGTTTTCATTGCCCTAAAATTTTGTGTTCAGAAGTTCCTTTGTTGCCACTTCATTTTAAGTCCAGAAGAGCAACTGTTTTGCTGTAAATAAAGAATCTATTGTACTTAAGACGGAGAGAGGAAATTCTAGAAAAATAACTTCATATTCTTCTTTTTGGATGAGATGTGATTTGACACTTTAGAGTATCAATTTTCATTAGTGCATAGGAGAAATATGTTTTTATAGGAGACAAGATACTTTCAGCCTGCTGGCAGTTCTGTACTTTTGAGTTCTACACTTTCAGATAATGAGAAATACATCTTTTTTGCTGTGAAGTACTTCAGCCTGCTAATGAGTTTGTATTTCAAATTTTAGACTTGCAGGTTTGTATTAAGGCCAGAACACAAGAGAGTGTTGCTGTGTTTTAGCTGTTTCAAAATAGTATTTGAACTGCTAAAGGCCAACATCAATTTGAACCTGATAAAGATGGATTTTGGTGAGGATATGGAGTCAAATGTTGATTTTCACATAAAAGATGAGGCAAAAAGGATGCTTAAAGAGATTGAACTGGTGAAGAAGAATGTTGAGAACTCGGAGTTCTATACTGGAATGCACTTGGATCTCAAACAGAACAAAACAATTCAAAAACATTTCTTTTGCCTTTTAGGCTCCCATTCACAAGTTCAGGTGGTAATCTATGGTTTGGGAAGCATCGAATACAGTTTTAGTTCACAGTTTCAGCTTGCTGTAGCTCTCCTACTAAAACGAGATTTTTTCAATTGGATTGGCAATATAGAAATATACGATCCCTGCCTGTCTCCAGCTGATATCATAGTTTTCGAGAAACTTGATCTTAAGGTTCTCACCATTGATGAAAATTGTAAGAGGAGAGTTCAGAGACCAACAATGTTCTACATGCCGTATCCTCATTGTTATCTTATTGGCAACGTCTTGGGAGCAAACTGGTCATCATCTTGTCTTGGCCAGATTTATTTGCTGACAAACTCATTTTGCAGTACGTTGTCTGATATGCCAAGAACTAGCCAATTGCTAGAAACAGTGCTACGCTTAGAGAGAATTTTTCACTTCACAGCAGAGATTGACATAAAAACTAGTGACGATAAGATGTATGCTGATGTGTTCTCAGGATTTGCCTGGCATTTCTTTGATGTGGATCCCAACATTCACATTGACATTGACAAACTGGGATGTTATTGGTTGGACATGCAAAGGTACTTAGATATGAGACTACATTCTGAACTTCCCATTTATTATAAATACAATTCTCTAGTTATGTTGAATTTGAAACAAAGAACCTGCCAATTAGCACATAATTCATGTAGTCATTAGCCCTTTACTTTTTGTCCGCCTATGAGTGTTCCATTTCTTTCTCCTCGTGATAAGATGGGCTTTACACATGTGATTGATTTAAGTGCTTGTTGGAGAATCTAGATTTTGTTGGTTGGATTATGCAAAGTACTTTGTAATTATTTGCTTAGAGGAAACTATAGAGTGATAGAGATGAGGAGAAGGAAACATTGGAGGGTAAGGAGTACTAATGAATATATCCGTAATGATGTAACTTTTAACTTGTGTCGCAGGCATCTTGAAGAAGAATTTTTGGAACACATGGAAAAGGATATCATGACCAGTATGCTATTTGCAGAATTTTTGGGTGATCATCGTGGGCCTCGTCGTTTAAGATGCAACCCAGTTCCTCCTCCTCCAGGTTGGATTAAGCTAGACATCTATGGTATTGGTATAAAAGGTGATCAACCAGGACAATATAGTGGCATCTTCCACGATGAAAAAGGGAAGTGTTTTGATAGGTATAGGGGTGACAATGTGATTGCTGGACTAGAGGCCTTGAAGATTGGGTTGGCCGGATGTGTGGAAGGAAGGCCAAATGCACAGAAGTTGATTGTGGAGTCCGATAATGTTATACTTGTCCATTATGTTAATGGTCTTCTTGAGCCAAATGAAACAAGGTTGAAGGAAATTTTTGATTTGCTGAAACGTATAACTTGTGCAGTTTACCATATCTATGAAGAAACCAATGAAACTGCCAGAGACTTGGCTCTAAGAGGTTAATGTCCTAATAGTGCATAGATAGCTTTGTTTTTTACTCAAAAGTGTAAGGTGAATCTTTCCTATGGCAAATGATGTTTCTATCAAATTTGTCAAAGGTTGGAGACACTTGAATTTGGTTGTTAACCTTTGTGTTTAATTGTGCTTTTGAATGTTTAAGATAATATACCTATCTGTTTTACTTGCTAGTTTCTACAGAATTGCTCGTCTTTTGGGTATTAAAAGTTTTTTATGATTGGAAAGATTAGAAGAAAGTATTTATGGGATATATTCTCTTTTATGAATTACATGTCTATTTTGCTCATACCAATAAACATAGCTAAAGTTATAGTTGGAGTCGCTGATAAAAAGTCGAGATAACTAGTTATTGTAAGCATGAAAAGAGCTAAACTAAATGAAATATATTCTTAATCTTCGTCTTCCTTTTTCTTCAGTGCCCTTACAGGAATGTTGTTCCAAACGCCTCTGAAAGCCTTGGCAAACATCCCTCCTCCAACGAGTAACTTTCCCACCCGGTGTCCGATACACACATTGGAAATGTGTCTCTCACTGCTTTCATCATGTTCATACAATTTCATCACGTTCATACAGCCGTAATTAAAGACGAAAGAAGTAAAAAATTAGGTTTTGCGAGATAAATTATCAGCTAGCTCCACCGGGAACAAGTACTATGTATATTACCAGCAGTTTTTAGGCAACAGAGTACATACATCACTGCAGTAAACACACGCTTAGGTTGAGAAGAAAACTCATTACTACAAAGAAATTCCTATTTTTAACTACAAAGTTAAACGAAAACCATGATGCAATTGCATTGAAAATAGAAATAATGCCATAGCACGATTGAATTACAGCAACGAACGAGAATCTGAAAAACATAAATGCACTCAAAAAACATGAACGCCGCCGCCTCCATACTCTCATTTAGTGGCCTGTGCAATGATGTTACTAAGAGAACTTGCCTCTTCTTTGGCAGCCTCGACCAAAGAATCCTGCAAGTTGTTGACAGGATCCAGTTTTAAGATAAGTGAAGAATATTGCATTGTTACCTGTGAAATGCATCAAGTGTATAATGAAGAATACCTGTGCAGCAATTAGACGTGCAACTGTTTTCTTGCTTGATTCTTGGAGTTCACCAGCAATCACAAGTTCGTCCAATATATAGTATGCCTGCCAAATCACTCACATGGTTTCGAAATATATATAAGCTATAATCTCAAAAGTTGTTTATATGAAAATGCATGATAGATGAAATCACAAGTAGTCACTGAGAGGCAAGTTCAATCAGCACAGAATATACTATCCAAAAAACAAGTCAATCAGAGGAGCATTCATTGGTTTTTGTAGTAACATTAAGCTAGTTTAACTAGTTCACTCGACACCTCTAGGACACCTTATGGTTTTTGTAGCCTTGTGCTTTAAGAAAGAAGATGTCTCAACAGTTGAATCCTGAACTCACCCTTATAAGGCTCCTTCCCCCTTTATTTTGATGTGGGATTTTCCTAGGGCAAACTTCACAGCAATTCTCCGGTCCAACTCGGCAGTCCATGGGCTATTATGCCCACCCCCTTTAAGGACTCGGTTACTCAGCGATTCCACCATCATACTACGGATGGTACTGGCAAGGTATTGTCTGCTTTCTCCCAACCCATCTAGCCACCTTAACACTTTTGGGTGTCATGATTTTCTCTTTGGACTTTAATTATAAAGATGTCTCAATAGTTGAATCCCAAACTCGCCCTTATATGGACCCTAACTTTACGATCCCATTACGATATGGGATTTGACAACGGCAAGTTTCTACCCCTTTCAAGTTCAACAGCTAACAGTCTGGGGGTGTTACACTTATCCCCCCCCCCCCCTTGTGGACTCATCAAACTTGCTAAGTTCTTTCTACCATCATACTAGGGGAGCTACCTATGATACCATCTATCACAGCCCATGCCTAACTGCCAAGGTATTGTTAACTTTGGCCTGGCTCCTCTAGGTCACCTTAAGGGTTTGGACCTCAAGTTTTTTGTCCCCATGAGCTTTAACCCAAAAGGAAACTAAACCTTGAATTCAAAATTCACTTGTCTTAAGGCAACTGACACAGCAAGCCTTTTGAGTTCAACCACCGGCCGTCTGAGGGTTGCTATACTCAACCCACCTTTCGGGACTCAACGTCCTCGCTGATATTTCAACCAAGAGAGGTGCTGACTCAAATACCACCTGTCAATGTCAAGGTCAAGGCCTAATTGCCAAGGTATTGTCCACTTTAGCCCTACCCTTGTGGGCCACCTCAAGCCTTTTGGGCATCACATTTTGTCCTCTTGGACCTTAATCCAAAAGGCATCTCAACAGTTGAATCTTAAACTCCTCCTTATATGGCCCCTTAATTCCTCTTCTTATTTCCAATTTGGGATTTTTACAAGGCAAGTTTCACAATGAAAACCCCCTTTTGAATTCAATGGCCAACAGTCCATGGACATTAAGACAGACTATTCCGTTCTGTATACACCAACAGCTAAAGAAACTCAAGAAAATTTACTGAAATAAATAATACCCATCACAGACTAATTTTTTAAATGGAAAAATGTGAATAGTAAGAGTAAAGACGAAGAAAACATATAGTACTTTCTTAGATTCAATTTTTCCAACAAGATAAGTTTGGACTCTTAGATAATGACTTCTTTTGCTTATGAGAAAGGCAAGTAATAAATCACAATTCACAATTGATTTCATAGACCCAAGATTAAAAAATCAAACTTTACATTGCTAAATAGTGTTTTTTTCTTCTTTTTTGTAGCATGTTAAAACATAATTCTTGGAGAATATTTCTTATTTACTTGATAACAAATTCACCAATTGGAGTTATATTGTAAAATGGACCCTGTCACCCAAGCGTGCGCAAAACCTGGATGGTTTAGTAACTAAACTTTAACAGAGGATCTTCTCTTTTGTAAAATATGTTTCTTCATCAGATATAACTTCCAAATATCTTAGATCTTCATTGCTAAAATTCTAATACCCAACTTATGATGATGAAGGGGACAGTTACATGTATTACACAAAGTTCAGCTCAAGCAAAACACTAATTTTCAGATTGGGAAAAAGGTAATCTATACACAGTTTAAACAAAGAAAACGAGGGTCGGTTTAGCACAGAAAATAAGATGATTTGAGGTTTTGAGTGCCCTTCGTTCTGTCTGAGATCAAGCATGGTTGCAGAGACCAAGGGCAAAAAAAATAGACGGGTAATAAGAAGGAGAGGGAAAGCAAGAGAGGAGTCACATGATAACCTGCAACTGTAATTGTAGTCTACTCAAAGTTCAATGGAAAATGTTTTTAAAATAGTGCTGTTTCTAGTTACTTACAAATTTAACCTCTATTTCTTATCAAAACAATTTAACCTCTATAAACAACCTCTATTAACGAATCTATATAAGCCCCAAGAAGTGATCATAAATGTCACCTCAATTATTGTAACATCCATAAGGAAAAACAGTAAAATTTAGGTAAAGGTGACAGGTGGAGATGCATAGATTGTAGAAATCCCTGAACAAATTCAATGAACATACCTTGTGAAAATTGAAGATTAAGTCCAGCTCACAGACCTGAAGGGAAAGAAAGCCAACAACATAAATATAAAACAGAACAAGTAGGAATGCCATCTTCTTTAGAGTTTGAGAGCCTTACACTTCCAAAGTATCGGTCCAGAATCTCAACAAAATGGTGTATGATTTCCAGGACCTCCAACTCATTGTCCTCTTGGTCTATGCACATACAGAAATACAAGCTTGCATATCTGTTAAATTAACAGCCCATAAGAAGATTGGAACGTATATTTTCTTACAGGGAAAAGAGATAAATAGATTCTTCTCTAAAAAGAAAAGATTAATAGATTCTATCTAATTGAGAGCAAATCATAAGACGTGAACTTGAGAATAAAATTAGATCACCTTTACCTTTTATAAACGACTTTGTATCCTCTCCACTCAACAAAATTGCAAAGCTTTGGTCCTCGAGTGAGAATCATACCACTTAGTTCACGGATTACCTTAAGAGAGTTGCATTGACATGTAACATGTTACTAATAAATTAAGGAAAATAACTTTTGCATAATCAGTACTATAAGATGTTTGCAGGAATGAAAAATCCTGTGTATATAAGAAAGTGGAATAATTATTTACTTCTCAATCTTGCCACAAATGAAAATTTATTCACATCCCTCTACTATTTAATGGCTTGAAAAAATTGCAAGACCCATTCACCTTGGCAGCGAAGAAAAATAAAACAGATAAAGACTAAAAGCAAGCAATTAAGCTTTACACCATACCTTATGTAATTTCTTTATCTTACTTTTCGGGTATGAAAACTTCATATTTTTTACACCTATCTTCAGAACATCTCTTCAGGCTCTTTAAACCCTCTCTTTTTCTTTTATGACTGAGAAATCCGCTAGGGTCCAGCCCTTAGGAGCAACCGCAACCTTCACAACTCGGAAATAATGGCCCACACCTCGTCCCTTCTTCATTTAAATACCAGGCTTAGTTCACATGGCGGATGGTTCAATCATGTGACCTAAGTCGCAAGCCCCTCGACTTTACAGCTTGACTGAATCCCCGGAAGCGCTCTTTGTACCCTCTCTTAATACATGATTCTATCTTATATTGGAACTATTTGGAAGGTATAAGCCTTCTTTGGCTTTTCGTATTTTACTCTTTTTTTATATTTTAATTTTCCCTAGTTTGCAAAAAAAATCTTTTAATGTCACGAGGATTGACAAGATCAATTCTCAATTATGATAACCAACAAGTCTCTCTCTATCTCTCACTCTCTCTCTCTTTTGATAAGAACAAACCAGTCTCTGTCATAAATTAATGCAACACCATGCATTTCTATGCATATTGCAAACCAGTCTGTCATAATGCAACAACATCTATTTTCTAAAATGTATATAGCTCCCGATTTTTCCTATAGTTTCTTCAGGAGAAGCGGTGAGTTCCTTGAAGAAACTTAAAG